TACTGGCTTTCAGTATCAGTTTTGGAGAACTGAAGAGGGTCAATTTAAACTTGGTAAACAGGACTTAGAAAGTCTAGGAATTATTCTCCACCATCTGGCTTTCACCCTAGCCCACAAACAGATAACCGTTGAATTTGTTAATGTGTCAGCTTGTCTCAGGTCGAACTGTACCATCAGCTAACACCTTCTATTAACTGTTCTGTGTAGAACTGGCTACGAGTGGTCCTTTGAAAGTACCTTTAACTCTTCCCATAGTGCAAGCCCATATGCATTATCACTGGTCAAAAAAAATTTTTTTGTTACCATAAAAAGGAACTCCTGGAACTCTGACAGTATCTGAGCTAAGTGAGTTAACTCTTGTAAATCAATAGAGATTGTTCACAAAAATAATTGAATAGTTGACTCTTCCTGAGCATAAGAATTCTACTAGCCATAGATCAGTGATTAGGTTCCAGAAAATTTAAAATGTATCATTCTGCTTCCAGGTCAAAGGGTAGTAACACTCTTCAAAAACATCCTAGTAATAATTCTCACATCATAATTTATGCCACATGGACTATCACTTCAAATTTGTATGACTATCTGCATGGTGTGCCAGGGAAATGGAAAGCAACATAATAGCATCGTGATGTGGAAATCTCTCAAGGTTCTGTCCTGGGTGTCCCTGAAATGTGCTGAGCTGATTAGCTAATTAGTGACAACACCCCATCCATCCCCATGCCAGGGACTGAAAGTTCAACACATGTGAACTCCTCCTGGAAAAGACCCAGAATTCTCAAAAGTGGACTAACTAACAAACTCTATGCACAAAAAAAAATTGTTCCCAAGTGGTTATAAAATGTCTAATTCACTCTATCAGGCTATCAGTAGGTAGTTGGAATGTGTTTCTTTCTTCACAGAATATTGAAAATTAGTACCACTGCTAGTGGCTTTGTGTCCCCTTTGGATACAGAAAAGCACAGGAGGCACCACATCCTGAAGTCTTCCCACAACGAAGCTGATGGTTTCCCCTTGTCATGCTGGCATATTCATATAACAATTGCCTTCTTTTGTGCTTGCACCTTTACAATGATAGTTGAGCCCCACCTCCCAACCAGGGATATTACTCTCATGCTTGCTTTCTTTAACAAACTACATAATCGAGGCAGGTGTATGCTCCAGGCTCTGTAATCACTTTGCTTTTGTTAAGGGTCACTTTTGTTCTGAGGTAAGACCCCCGGGCAGAAGAAGTAAAAAAGATCACTGACTTTTAGTTTTATTGTAATGCCCCCTTAACTATTCTTAATGTCTTCTCAAATACTATCAGAATTCTCTTCCTAAAAGAGATCTGATCACTTCGCTTCCGCTTCAAAAACACTGGATGGCTCCTCACTGAATATAAAATAAAGTTTATACTCTTTCAGTTCATCACTGGAAGCCATAACAATCCAGACTTTGCTGAAAGCTAATTTTTAGCAAGAGGCAAAACAAAAGAATTCAAAGTCCAACTCCTAACCAGTGTTTCTCAAAGTGTGCGTCATACGCCAACGTTGAACCACAGTAAGGAAATGATTCCCTTTCCATTCTTTCATCATCTCAAAAGTGGGGACTGGAATACAAATCACTTAGAACAGTGCCTAAGGCTGAGTAAGCATCGATAAATGTTAGCAATGAGGACTTCAATCCTCTGATTACATGGAGAAAAATAATCATTTTTAGAAAACAAGCCAAAGAAACCTATCACTTTTAACAAAGAGAGCACAGGCCTTGGGTTCTGAACCAACTGCAGGATCTAGCTAGAAATTAGTAATTATTTATTTGAAGGTTTTTTTTTTTCACTGTTGCCTTCTATTGGGTGGGTTTCTATTTAAAGTACTGTCATAAAGTTTCCTTTTTAAATTTGTTCAAGTGAGCCATCTCAAAGAAAGTGTTAAGTAAATTAAAATAAAGGTAGTACACAGATTTGGCAAATGAAAAAAAAAAGAGTAAAACTGGTATTCAGATTACCAAAACTTCCTTCTGAAAATCTTTATATTCTACCTCTAGGCCTCAAGTCATTCCTTCTGCGTAGAATGCCCTTCACCCCATGACTTCCTGTTGAAGTCCTTAACAAAGTGAGGTTGACCCTTGAACAATGCAGAAGACGGGGCATCCACCCCCACAAAAGCAGAAAATCCATGTGTAACTTTTCACTTCCCCAAAACTTTACTAATAGCCTACTGTTTTCCAAAAGAAGCCTTGCTGATAACAGATGATTGACACCTATTTTGTGTATGTACTGTATACTGTATTCTTACAATAAAGTAAGCTAGAGAAAAGGTTATTAGGCAAATCATAAGGAAAATATATTTACAGTACTGAAAAAAAGCTGCATATTAGTGGACCCATGCAGTTCAACCCATGTTTTTCTTTTTTCTTTAAAGATTTGCTTATTTATTTTTAGAGAGAGAGGAAGGGAAGGAGAAAGAGAGGGAGGGAAACATCACTTTGTGGTTGCCTGTCACGTGCCCCCAACTGGGGACCTGGCCCACAACCTAAACATGTGTTTTGACTGGGAATCAAACCAGTGACCCTTTGGTTTCTAGGTCGGCACTCAATCCGCTGAACCACACCAGCTAGGGCCAACCCATGGTTTTCAAGAGTGAACTATATTTTAAAAGTCAAACTTTACAACGGTATTGTAAGTGGCAGATTCAACCTTCAAAACCTAAATCAAGGACTACTTCTCATGAAGAGCCTTCCTAAATCTTTTTCATCCTCTCCCCCAAGTTATCAATTTCTTTTCCTCTTTTGCCACCCCCATTCCCCACCTCCGGTGACCCCTCACACCCTTTGCATTTTACTTCTAACCCTACTATAACAATTACTGTTCTGCCACATATAAGTGCTATTTTTCATGACACTGTGGTGTAGAGGAGAGAGCCAGGCCCTGTTCAGACAAGCTCTGTCGCTTTCACTTAACAGTGGTTCATTCTGAACTTCAGTTTTCTTCTTGTAAAATGGGGATGGTAGTTACAGAAGAAGGTGGTTCTCATAGTGTGCCATAGCAAGCACTAAATTAAAATGTTTCTTTTTTGATTTCTTATACATTTTTGTACCCCTTGAAGTGCTTGGCAGGTAGCAGGTACTCAATACATGTCTGTCATAGTTCAAGGGTTCCAGCTGTTGTTCTTTTAACAGTGAACAGACATTATAGAGTATTTTATTTTATTATTTTCTTTTTTTAATGGTCTTCTCTTTTTGTTAGAAGATTTTATTTATTTTAGAGAGAGGGGAAGGGAGAGAGAAATGGGGAGAGAAACATCAATGTGTGGTTGCCTCTCACTTGCCCCCCACTGGGGACCTGGCCTGTAACCTAGGCATGCGCCCTGACTAGGAATTGAACCAGGGACCCCTTGGTTCACAGGCCAGCATTCAATCCACTGAGTCACACCAGCCAGGGCATTACAGAGTATTTTAAACAGGCAAAATAGAAAAAGGTTACAGGATATACTTTAGGGAAGAATTAAAAACAAAAATTACATTAGGAAAATAAAAGTATACAAGAATACATATAAGATTCAATAGTTTTAAAGCTGAGACATCTTTTTAAAAAGGAATTAACTTTTCTATCTAGCAGCACTTTCAACAAAGTGGAAATGTACACAGGATAGATGCTCTGGCCAGGATGCATGTATTTAGCTAGAGCATGTGCGACGATCTTAGAAATGATCTTCATTATGATTTGTACTGAACTTTGTTAGAGGGAAATAAGCATGAGCAAATGAATTAATAATCACAAAACACCTATATACGGGCTGTAAAAACTTGTGTCTTGAGTAGTGTGCAGGGATTTGCTAAGCACCTGTGGATGGGATTTACTCCTTTGAGTGAAAAGAGGGTTAGCCAAACACTATGCTAAGTCAGTAATTTTCAACTAGTGTGCTGCAAGAATTTTAAAAATATGCAATATCTGACTATTTAATCAGGGGTACTGACCTCCTTTCCCTTAGATTGTCAAATAAAATAGTGACGACAGCCAACCTAACAACAGCCGTCTGGTGTGAATGAATAAATTACACCTATTTTTTTTCTGTCCGATTGGCAAAAACTATGTATTTTTTGGTGTGCTGCAGAATCTTAGTAATCACTTTTTGTGTGCCATGAGATGAAAAAGATTGAAAATTATTGTGCTAAGTGAAAGAAGTCAGTTACCAAGCACCACATATTGTAGAATTCCATTTACTACAGGAAAAGTCCGGAGCAGGCAAATCCATAGAGAGGCACAGGAGCTTAGCGGTGGCCTGGGGCTGGGGAAAGAGGTGGACGGCGTAATAAAATGTTCGGTGGTTACAGAACGGCTGTGGCCGAACTACAGTGAAAATTGCTGAACTGTACACTTCAAAGGGCTGGATTTTGAGTATATGCGAATTATAGCTCAAGAAAGCTTTACCCCCCACTGCCCACCACTAAAAAAAGGGAGAACAAAGTTCAAAAACAGACCACTTCTAACCAGAGGAACTTTTCTGGCTGGCTACATAGCCCGACACCCCTGCACAGAGCAAAATCCCTGGGAGCGCAGGGTCTACGTCCTATCTCACTAACTCACTGTGGGTATTCGGGTGCGTTGCCCCCTTTCTCGGGTTAGCTTTCCTCGCGTATTTGATGACGTTGGCGGATGAATCCTGAAGCCAACCCCAGCTCTGATCCCCGGGGTCAGTCCCGCGCCCGACCCCGCACGCCTGGGGTCCACCCGCGCTACACTGCCCAGTTACCTGTAGGGACCAATGGCTGCTGGGGCTTTCGCGGTGCTGATTATCTTTCTGATTAAGGACGCCATGGCTAAAACTCTTCTCTTCAGGCCCCTGGGCGAGAATGATCCTGTACACTAGCACCTCTCGCGTCCCAACCTGCCGAAGGCAGTCTTTACACAAACACGTGGTGGGGGCAGTTCTATCAGCATTCTGGGACTTGTAGTCATTGCGCGGGTCCCGGCCACGTGGAGGCAGTGGCCGCACTGGCGCATGCGCCCTCCAGCTCACTTGCAGCGCTTGTAGTTTTGGAGGGGACAGTGGCAGGATCTTGTCATTCTGCCCTGGGAAGCCCTAGCTTTCCACCGCAGTGTGTCAGAGAGGTAGGTCGTGAGGGGCTGGTGTTCACTAGGGGAGTGTGTGTGTGTCGACCCCCAACCTGGTTTCCGCGCACTGCGCCCCTCACCCCGATCTTCTCTCTCTCTCAGACCCTGTTGGCCCCCTCTATCCTCTTTTTCCCTTGTTTCCAGCTCCTGGGCTTTCTGGCCGCCCCGCCCCTCCTTTGGCCCCTGCTGTCCACCTCCTTCAGTGTTTCTTTTTGCTATATTGCCACACCCGAGGGAGGCCATTCTTGGACTGGGCTTGTCTTTCCCACCCCCACTTATGCCGTAACGCAGCCATTTTCAACCTTTTTCATCTCATGGCACACATAACGTAATTACTAAAATTCTGTGGCACACCAAAAATATATTATCTTTTTTGCCTGACAAAAATAAGTATAATTTTGATTGGTTCATACTGGCCGGCTGTTGTGTTGTCTGCTGTCATTTCTTTATTTGACAATCTGCTGTTTGACGATCTAAGGCAAAAGAGGTCAGTGCCCCTGTCTAAAAAATCAGGTATTGCATGTTTTAAAAATTCTTGTGTCGCTCGGGTTGAAACTCGCTGCCTTAAAGCAATAAGATGGGTCATTCTGGGGACGACCGCACCATCGGAGCGTTTTCTACCTTCCAGCCCCTCCCTTGCTCCCTTCTCTGGTGCTTCTGGAGCTTTTAGAGGTCTTTATTCCTTCCCCTTTGACCTGAATTGGACCCTTAGTGACCGGGATCTGATTTCAAAAAGGAAGATCGTTGTCTTGATCCAGCAACTGGCCCCAGGGCTGGTCTCTTGGCAGATATTCAGTCTTGCTGTGTCAGAAGGGGTGGTAGTTGACTAAATATTTTCAGTTTTGTTTATAATGCATTATAGCACGCTTCACTTCTTCACTTATGAGTGCACATGTGCCTTTTAGAAAGAGATGTTGAGCCCCTGCTTTGTGCAAGGCACTGGGCTGGGTGCTGGAGATACAGTAGTGAAAAAGACAAGATCCCAGTCCTGCCCTGCTTCTAAAATGTAATACTGTAAGGAAATCCTGTTTATCCCTCCTCATTCAGTCCTAACATACTGCTAAGGTTTTGGCTTTCCTACTTCTGGTTCAAGAACTTTCAGAGCTTTTTCTTTTTTTTCATAATGTCCAGTTGGGCAATATTTATGTACAGGAAATACATATTATTAAAATTTGTTTAGTTCTTTACATTACAGTTGGGGGCATATTGTAGGACATGTATTGTTAAAAGTTGTATGTCTGGTAGGCTTTGTTATTGCAAATTTTATTTCAAAATAGAAAACAAGTGTTTGAAACTACTGAGAAAGAAAGGGGGATGTCAAATTTGAGAACTGAGAATTACTGAGAATATCCATCAGGCTCCGCCAGTTTTTTGTTCTTTATCCTTCCTTCGAATAGAAATCTTTTGCCGTTCCAAATTAAAGGTGCAGCTGGCCTCATCTCAGTAAGTAGAAATGAAAACATCAATAATTTATGTTCGGTTTTTGTGCATGTTATATCAGAATAGTGTGTTGTATATTTCATTTGATTCTGGTTCATGATTCTACTCATGTTCAACTAAGAACTTTTATTAAATGTTTTTGCAGATTTAATTTTATCATGGCATAGGGAATCTTATCTCTTACCACATTTTTCATTCTTTCAATGGACTTTTTGCAGTGTCAACATTGGTACATGACTTTATTTGGCAGTGCAAACTAGAGTACTAATGTAGTCTCTTCCAGCAATAGAATTATTTTTTTCTTTTGAATCATGTTTTTGGTGTTACACCATTTATGACTCCCTTAGAGATTGCTCTGGTCTTGAATTCCTGCTGTAAATCAATATTATGATAGTGATATTATGATATCATTGTTATATCATTGATCTACCTATAGTGAAGATTTATTGTATATTGAGTTGCATGAATATTTATTATTTATTTTTATTTTTGAATGGAAATTCCCTTCCCCTGTACTAAATTTATTACTTTCTTTCCAGAGATGTCTAATGCAAAAGAAAGAAAACATGCTAAGAAAATGAGAAACCAGCCCACCAATGTGACCTTATCCTCTGGCTTTGTGGCTGATAGAGGAGTAAAGCACCACAATGGAGGTGGAAAAGCTTTCCAAGCTCCAAGACTAGGTAAGACACACAGTGCTCTCTCCACTCCCACATGGAGCAAGTTGCTTTCGTCAGCACCTTTTGATAGTCATCATCTAAAGAGTACACGAGTTGAGTTAAGAACAGATACAGTTAGTTGACTGTTACTATTTGCAAATTCACCTAGTTGCAAAAGTTTGTTTGTAACCCCAAAATTAATGCCATGACACCTTGGCGGTCATTCGTAGACATGTGCAGAGCTGGGGGGAATTCAGTTCACCCCATGTGGACATTTCCAGCTGCGCTCTCATGTCAGTTCTCATGAAGAGCTGACCGGAGGACGGAGATGGTGGATAGGCAGTGCAGCATCGTGCAGGAAGCTCCGGCTCTGACTGGGGTTCGATTTCCAGCTGTGGGATAACCTCAGGTCACTTAACACTTCTGAACCTTGTTTTTTCTTTTGTAAAATAGAGGAAATAGAATCTACCAGGATGAATATTTTTTTTATTTAAGATTACAATCTATATGATATATGAGTATATATATTTCTCTAGAAACAGCGGTTCAGTATTATGGCTTTTTAGAAAATAACTATTGGGAATGAGAATTGGCTATCTTTTTTTTTATTCATTAACTATTTAGTTTTATCTTGTCAAATTCTTTTTTTAATGTATTTTCTTGATTATGCTATTACAGTTATCCCATTTTCCCCCCTTCACTCCCCTCCACCCTGCACACCCTCTCCCATCCACATTCCCCCCCTTTAGTTCATGTCCCTGTGTCATAAGTTCTTTAGCTTCTACATTTCCCATACTATTCTTGCCCTCCCCCTGTCTATTTTCTACCTACAATCTATGCTACTTATTCTCTGCACCTTTTCCCCCCTCCTCCTCCTACTCCCCTGTTGCTAACCCTCCATGTGATCTCTATTTCTGTGGTTCTCTTCCTGTTCTAGTTGTTTGCTTACTTTGGTTTTGTTTTTGTTTTAGGTGTGGTTGTTAATAATTGTGAGTTTGCTGTCATTTTACTATCCATGTTTTTTATCCTCTTTTTCTTACATAAGCCCCTTTAACATTTCATATAATAAGGGCTTAGTGATGATCTACTCCTTTAACTTGACCTTATCTGAGAAGCACTTTATTTGCCCTTCCATTCTAAATGAAAGCTTTGTTGGATAGAGCAATCTTGGATGTAGGTCCTTGCCTTTCATGACTTGGAATACTCCTTTCCAGCCCCTTCTTGCCTGTAAGGTCTCTTTTGAGAAATCAGCTGACAGTCTGATGTCAGGAACTCCTTTGTGGGTTACTGTGTCCTTATCTCTTGCTGCTTCTAGGATTCTCTCCTTCATTTTAATCTTGGGTAATGTAATTATGATGTGCCTTGGTGTGTTCCTTCTTGGGTCCAACTTCCTTGGGACTCTCTGAGCTTCCTGGACTTCCTGGAAGTCTACTTCCTTTGCCAGATTGGGGAATTTCTCCTTTATTATTTGTTCAAATAAGTTTCCCATTTGTTGCTCTTCCTCTTCCCTTTCTGGTACCCCTATAATTCAGATGTTGGAACATTTAAAGATGTCCTGGAGGTTCCTATGCCTCTCCTCATTTTTTTTGAATTCTTGTTTCTTCATTCTTTTCTGTTTGGTTATTTCTTTCTTCCTTCTGGTCCACTCTGTTGATTTGAGTCCCAGTTTTCTTCCCATCACTATTGGTTCCCTGTGCATTTTCCTTCATTTCACTTAGCGTAGCCTTCATTTTTTCATCTAATTTGTGACCAAATTCAACCAATTCTGTGAGCATCCTGATCACCAGTGCTTTGAACTGTGCATCTGATAGGTTGGCTATGTCTTCATTGCTTAGTTGTGTTTGCTGTGGAGCTTTGATCTGTTCTTCTGTTTCGGCCTTCTTTTTTTTTCGGTCTAGTTATGCCTGAGGGGCGGAGCCTTAGGTGTTCACCTGGGTGGGACAACCCAGTCACCGTGTTGTTTGTGGGGTCGGGGTCCAAGAGGGAACAATGGCACTTGCTCTACTCACTGTCGGATTTCAGTCCTTGCTGCTTCTTCCCCCAAGCAAACTGGGCCTTTCTGGTGCTGATTCCCATGTGGGTGGGCTTGTGCACATTCTAGGACTCTGTGGGTCTGTCCAACGAACTTTCCTGTGAGACTGGGAATCTCTCCCTGCACCTCAACCCCCACAGGTGTTCTCAATCGGTGTTTTGAGGCTTTATTTCCCGGTGCTGGGACCCTGGGCTGCAGGGTCTGTCTCACTCCCCAGTTTCGCCTGGTTTATCTGCACACAAATGTGGGACTGCCCGGTCAGCCAGCCGCCTTGCGTTCAGTGCCTCGCTTCACAGTTGCCACCTTTCTGGGTCTGCCAGCTGCCATCTTGTGCCCGGGGTGCCTTGTGCGCCTGGTGCCACCGTTTTTTTTTTGCTGCGACCCCTCTCTACCCTGCTGCCTGACTCCGCCTTTCCTACTGGTCTGGATGAATGTGTCTATTTTAACTCCTTGGTTGTCTGACTTCTATACAGTTCAATTTATTGTCAGTTCTGGTTGTTACTTTGTTTCTGAATTGTTGTTATCCTTATTTTGGTTGTGGGAGGAGGTACAGTGTGTCTACCTATGCCTCCATCTTGGCCGGAAGTTCTTGAGAATTGGCTGTCTTTTAGAGTTGACATATTTTGTGTCTTCTTTGATCAATTATCATTAAATTATACTTCTATATTTCCTAAAAATAACCAGTGCAGTTATCTTGATTTAATCAGAGTGCTGATTTTAGAACCTCATAAGGTAATAGAAGGTGATAGTGTTCGTTGAGCAGCAATAGAAAATGCCAGGGGGGGACGACAGCAAGCAGGGGACCAAGCCCCTTTTGGGAACACTTGGAAGAATAGTGTGCATTGTGTCTGATAAAATGTGTTTTAGATTCATATTCATAAGATCTAGATTCAGAGCCAGCAGTTGATGCCTACCATGCCATATGATAAACCTTAACATGTTATCTTAAACCTTGCAATGACATGCTTTGTAACATGCTTCATATTTGTAGGGGCTTAATAATTAGCACCATAATGGAAGTAAGCAGGAATCTGTAACATTCTCTACAGATCTCTCCATTAGTAGACAAGGATTTGATGTTGTCTTGGAGTCAGAATGGTTTGAATGTCCAGGCTTTTGTATAGAGATTCTGCTTTTATTTCTTTTTACAAATGTAGCATGGGCTCCCAACCTCAGTGTGCCAGAGAATTACAATAAAAGACTGAATATACAAAGTCATGTGAGCTGTAGTACTTAAGGGGGGTTTGATTTAAAGTCCATGTTGCACTATTTATCTGGAGAAAAGTTCCCTTGTATCAGTTATACCCAGGATTCTTTCAGGTGTCATACTGAGATGATTAGTTAGCATGCTGCTTATTAGCTGTGTCATCTCCTGCAAGTTAATTCACCTTTCTACCTATTACCCCTCCTTGTTAAAGGGAGGACAGTAATAGCCATGTTGTGGGGTAGTTATAGGATGGGAAACATGATCGCTGTTGCCACCAAACAAATATTCTCTATTCCTGATAAGAGTAACGTATTTCTTTCTTTTTCTTAATATATTAGATCCTTTTTCTGGAACTGCACTACCACGGCAAACCAAAACGACCCACTATGCACCACCTGAGCCTGACGTGAGTGAGCAGCCTTCCTCCAGAGTAATGTTTAAGAAAAAGGGAGGCTGGAGAGCAGGTCCTGAGGGCACATCGCAGGAGATTCCCAAGTATATCACAGGTAGGTGTTCATAGAGCGGTGAGGTTGAATTGTACTGTGAGCTCTTCGTTTCTAATGCGGCCAGATTTCCAATGCCCTCTGTGTACCTTGGCCCTTCCTTCTCAGAGCTCTCCTCCTTTTGCTCCAGGCCCTTCTCACCTCCAGCCTTTGGACTTGGGTCTGATTGCTCTCCCTTCTTTAATTTCTCTCCTTTTTTCTTTTACAGTTCTTATTTGTGAACTCTTCCACTTTGACTTAAAATCTTCTTCCTTCCCCCTTTTAAGAATATAAAATGCAGTTTACACACCTCAGCATGGCATTTTCCAAGAGTGACAGCAAATCGGATACACTCTAAAGGCAGCACAGCCCTGGCCGTGTGCTCGGTTGGTTGGAGCGTCATCCCATACACCAGGGGGCTACCGGTTTGATTTCTGGTCAGGGCACATGCAGGAGGCAACCAGTAGATGTTTCTCTCTCGCATCAATGTTTCTCTCTCTCTTCCTTTCTCTCTAAAATCAGTAAACACATCCTCAGGTGAGGATTAAAGCAATCCAGACCTTAATAAGTACCTATCTCTGGGTCGCTTCTAGCCTCATCCTGCATCTACTTCATCACTTTTACCCCCACTACCTCATGACCCCATATTCCTTGTAGGCACTTTAGTGGTGCCTTCTGGTCTCTCTTTATACCTTCTTGGAGGAATTCACTTAAATTTCCCCAGTGATCTGTTTATTTTTTTTAAAAAAGTAGTTTTCAGTAAAGAAAACTAATAATAGTTATGGTCACATATTTGGAAAATATTAAGGAAAAAATGCTTGGAGTCAAGATCATTTTAAAATTTTGTTTTTTTCATTGTTTTCTTTGTGTTTTTTATTTTTTGTTTTTGTTTTTTTTGTGCAGAAATCCTGAGTGAGCTTTTTTTTGTTTTCTTCTGTGATTATTTTACTTTAAAAATGGTTGGGATTATTTTGCAGTGTAGTTCTCTGTTTTAAAAAGCTTTTCATAATCTTGACTTGAAACTTTTTTTTTTTTGATTAGAAAAGTGACACTGAACCCTTCTAGAAAATGTGAAAAAGTAAAAGTTGAAGAATAGTTTCACAATCTGCACAGCAATAACCACCAGTGGTATTACTCTAATGGGGGGTGAGGGTAGTGGGTGAATTGTAAGTTCATGTCCTTCAAATCTTTCTTCTGAGATGTACCAGAAACATGTCAACTCAAGACCAATTTTTAATGACAATGCTCTTTCTTTCAATAGCCTCTACTTTTGCTCAGGCTCGAGCTGCTGAAATCAGCACTATGTTGAAAGCAGTGACTCAGAAGTCTTCGAATTCGCTGGTTTTCCAGACTCTGCCACGACACATGAGACGAAGAGCCATGAGCCACAATGTCAAACGCCTTCCGAGACGCTTACAGGAGATGGCTCAGAAAGAGGTACACGTTTTACTTAATGTAAATGTTTTAGTTAGTAGTTCCTAAAGGAAAATGGGACTTTGTTCAAATGAAAACTGAAAACAGTGTGTTCGTTTTGCATATTTTGGTTTAACAGTTTATTCCCTGTCCCACCCCCTTATCATCCACAAAATGAGCGGATGGTTGGATATTACGGCTGCTTTTAAATACAATATTTGAAACTCATTTCAATGATACTGAATAGTTGATGTTTCCATGTTTTCCTGTCAGATTTAAAATGAAATTCTGACCTTCTTACGAGATAAACAATTTTAATCCTGCATTTTGGGTGTGTGGCCAGCTTAGAATTAGAAAAAAAAAAAAGGCATCATTGCCTAGCACTTGCCTTTTGACTTTTTCGGTGTTGAAAACTTGAGCTTGAATTTAATTTTTGTTTCAAGCCTAATTATTTTTGTCTTCACCGGAAATTCTGGCTTAGATTTTCCGAGGTTGTCTAAGGTACCCGTGTTTTTATTAGTTGTTTCGGAATTTCTGTATTGTGCGCCTTCTGGGTATCAGTACTGTGCTGGCCACGGGGTTAGAACCCATCGAGGGAAAGTCCTTACCCGCAAGGGGCCCACAGACTAATGGAGAGGAGCTTTTCCCACAGAAGTTGAGCTTGCCTGTGGGAGAGACTGAGAGTGGAAAGCACACGGGAACTTTGTAGTTTCAAGTTCAGCATGAAGTCTGTTTCCCAGTGATAGCATTTAGCATTTACCTGTTAGCCCCAGCTGACATGAAATGTGTAGGTTTTCCTCACTCCTCTATTTTTTGGTCCTAAGTTTTGGGTTTAGTTACAATGTTAGAGGTTAAAAAACAAAAAATAACAACAAAAGCTAGTATAGGATTTATTCCCTCTTGCTGTCTAATACACTGTTAGCCACAGTTAGCTTGAGGTGAACATTTTTATATATTCTAACCTTTACGGTCCATGAAGCTTGCCCAACTACTAAGTGAAAGGACGTGTTTCCTTCTTAGGTCTGCCTGCCTATAAAACCATCACTCCTTCCATTGCTTCCCTCTCTGCTTTCACTGGAGAAACCACCAAGTTAAAAAAAAATTAAGCAAACTCATGGGGTCTTTAACGGGCTCCACAGAATCTAAAGTTAGTTTAAGTTGGAATTCCTAACACTTAGCTTTGTTTCAAAATGGTTGCAAACTGGGCCTGCTTCTTCTGTTCTGGAAACTGCAGGCAGAGAAAGCAGTACATCAGAAAAAAGAACATTCAAAAAATAAATGCCATAAAGCTCGAAGATGTCACGTAAACCGGATGCTAGAATTTAACCGTAGACAAAAGAAGAACATATGGCTGGAGACGCACATCTGGCACGCCAAGCGGTTTCACGTGGTCAGGCAGTGGGGCTACTGCCTCGGGGAGCGGCCGACGGTCAAGAGCCACAGAGCCTGCTACCGAGCTATGACGAACCGCTGCCTCCTCCAGGTAGGCCTTCCAGTGGTGTTTCTTTTCTTTTCATTTAAACCCTTTCCGATAGAGACTCTTAAAATAGTTCATGGTATGCTGGAGCCCTTTCTCTGAAGTTATTTCTTTTAAAAATAATTACTGAGCATGAGGCACTTGGCTAAATGCTGGAGATGAAGCAGCAGCCTAAAGGTATTACGGGAGGCTGATATTAGTCAAATAATTAGCCAACTATCCAATTGCGAGGGATATATACAATGCTATGCGCTTTCTTCACAGAGGAACAAGACAGCTTCCCTGTGGAAGTGATGTTTGAGCAGATCTCTAAGGCATGAGAAAATGGGAGGGTGGGGGAGGCAGAAGGAAGCCAGGGAGCAGGGAGGAGGTGAAATAAATTCCGTGGGACAGAAATGAAGAGAGTCACAGCAAGGCTAGCATTAGGGCGAGGCTAGTTCTGGAAAACTAAATAGTAACCAGATCATACAGGATTTTGATGGTCATGTTCAAGGTGAATTCAGCGTCGATTCATTTAATTGTCATTTATCAATAACAGGTACTTGAGAACCGTCTGTGGGCCCCTAGCAGTGTTCAAACGCTGTTCTAGATGTTTATGAGTCAGTGGGATGCTGGGGAGTTTGTTTAAAACTATTTGAGAGGATAGCTGGTTTTAGAGCCTTGTATTCATCTGGTTGTCCCTCCCCAGCCAGCCACTGTTAATTTAGGTACTTTCTCTCTTCCCGGACGTATTTAGAAATTTGCTTTTTGTGGATGGCCTGTCTTTCGGTGGCAGGATAGTCTTGGCCTGGTTTTGAGAGCCACCGATATTAGTATTCTCTGGTAACTCTTGAGAGCAATATAGTGGAATCATTAAAACAATAACCTTTAAAAAAATTTTAAAGTACACAACAGCAAATCACCACTTAGACAATTTTTTGTTAATTTTTTAAAGTAATTTTTAATTTTGCAAATGATGTACAGTATTATATTAGTGTCAGGTATACAACCCAATAATTAGACATTTATTACAAAGAAACCTGGTACCCATCTGACACCATACATAGTTATTACATTACTGATGACTGTATTACCTGTGCTGTACTGTACATCACTGTAACTATTCTGTAACTACCCGTTAGTACTTCTTAATCCACTCACCTTTGTCACCCACCCCTTCCACTCCCCTTTCATCTGGCAACCATCAAAATGTTCTCTGTATCTGTGAGTCTGTTTCTGTTGTGCTTATTTTTATTTTTTTGGATTCCACATGTAAGTGAAATCGTACGGCGTTTGTCTTTGACCTTCATTCAGCACAGTACTCTCTAGGCCCATCCATGATGTTGCAGACGGCAAGATTTCATTCCCCTTTATAGCTGAGTCATACTCCCTTGTATACATGCACCACTTCTCTGTCCACTCAGCTGCTGACAGACCCCTAGGTCACTTCCCTGTCTTAGCTATTGTGAATAGTGCTGCAGTGAACTCATGGAGGTATATGTCTTTGTTTTAAAGTCTGTTTTGTCTGGTATAGTAAGTATTGCTACCCTATCTTTTTTTGCTGTTTGTTTCTGTTTTCATGAAATACTTTTTTCCATCCCTTTGCTTTTATTCTGTGTGTGTCTTTTTGTCTGATCTGAAGTGAGTCTCGGGTAGACAGCCTATGTAAGGATCTTGTTTTTTGATCCACTCAGCCACCGTATCTCCCTCCCTTCCTCCCTCCCTCCCTCCCTTCCTTCCTTCCACCTTCCCTTCCTGCCTCCTTTCCTTCTTTTCTTCTTTCTTTCCTTCCATGCGCTCCCATGCACAATGTATATACAATCCCACATTTTAGCACTACCCATGTATAATACACATTCTTAGTACTACCCATGTGTAATGTGCATCCTTATTTTTCCCTCAAAAATTTGGGCAAAAAATGCACATTATATGTGACAAAATAAGGGATTTGATTTTAGAGAGAGAGGAAGAAGCAGAGAGAGAGAGAGAGAGAGAGAGAGAGAGAGAAACATAGACATGAGAGAGAGAAGCATCCGGCAGTTGCCCCCCATTCACACCCTGACCAGGAATCAAACCCACAGCCTTTTGGTGTATGGGTTGATGCTGCAACCCACTGAACCACCCAGCCGGGGCTATAATTCTTTAACATACTGATTTTGCTAGCTCAGTGTGATCCCTCCTAATTTTATTTAATTGGTAAAGTCTTACTCTCATTTTTCCTTTTACATTGCTTAGTCAAAATTGAATATTATAGTCAGACTGAGAATGGAAGAAATACGGGATAAGTTGTTTGCAACAGTATGACTCTCATTTCTTACCTTGAGTAGATTTCAGGGAAGACTAATCCTTTACTGAAAGGTAGCAGTTTTTACACTCTACTTAGAACTGGCCTGTGAATATGAGATAAAACACAGATTTTCTTTATAAAAAGGGCGACACTGCAACTTATATTTAAGTGGAGATTCATTTTTATTTTGATTTAAATCGGTTTAAGGTTATTTGCTAAGGTAGTAGCTACAGACCGGTTTCAGATTTTGACTTGTGCAGTGGTAGCTTTAGCAATTTGTTCTGTGTCTTGGACTCTGGAAGTTTTTCTGATGGGACTTTTGGCCGCATGTAGTTTCCCTCATGTAAATTGCTGAGTTTTTAATGGTGTCTCTGTCTCTGGGCAGGACTTGTCCTACTACTGCTGTCTGGAGTTGAAGGGCAAAGAGGAAGAAATACTGAAGGCACTTTCTCCGATGTGCAGCATAGACACAGGTACGCTTGTGCGAAATCTGAGTCCGATATTCGTCTTTGACTCTTGATTCATTTTATGAAGAAGTGTCTGCTCTATGCACTTGGGAATTTAAACATACATGAAAATTCATGAGACAGTTTGTGCTACCAATGAGAATGTTAATAAAGGAAAGCTTGGGGTGGCGTTAAATTTTTCTAACGTCGTCAAGTGTAAAGTGAGAGAACCATTTTGCTGATTGAGGGAGTTCGGGCAAGAAGAAACTCAAAACTCCTCACACCGTTCATTCAGTAAAATACTTATCGAGAACATACTGTGTGCCACTCCGATCGAAGCAGTGAACAAAACCTAGATTCCCTCGTGGAGAGACACCGTAAATAACGGTTTGGCTGTCAGGCGATAATGCTGCGGTCTCCACACTCAGAACCATGGAAGTCTGTCTTTGTTTGTTGCAGGATTGACGTTTGCGGCAGTTCACTGCCTGTCTGGAAAGCGCCAAGGCAGTCTCACGCTTTACCGGGCACATAGATACCCCCACGGCGTGCTGGGGCCTGTGACGTTTATTTGGAGGCCCGAGAGGACCCCCGGTGACACTTCCGAGAGCAGGCAGCTGTGGATCTGGCTTCACCCGACTCTTAAACAGGTATAATCCCTGAGTGTATTTCCGCATCACTCATTGCTGTGTTGTTGGTGATTGTTGGAAGTCAATTCTATAGAAATTTAAGTGGTGTGAAAGTTTGGCAGTAGGTTGGTGTTTGACTCAAGGGAGGAAAGTTGCCTGAAAATTAAATGAAGCAAATCTTGACCTGTCTGTTTTCACTAAGCCATGAGTAGAGATGAAAACCAACCTTATGACACAAACCTTATGTTGTTGCCTGTGGATGGATGCGTCCACCGTGCCTGATGGCGCACTGGTGTCTGGGTGCCTGTTGGAGCCTGTTTGGTGATGAGTCACTGGGGTGAATTTGGCCGATTTCAGATACTGCATTGAGCTCAGCTTCTCCCCCTGTGTGTCTCTCCTTTTTCAGGATACTCACTATTTTTAGATGGTAGACTGTTTCACCCTCATTTTTTAAAAATTTGGTCAGCGTAGTCATGTTGTTTTCATCGCCTTTGACATTCAGGATTTCTTTTTTGTCCCAAGTGCCATGCGCTGCTCAGAAGAACCAAGAACCATTTTGGAGAGGATAGGTTTAGCTTAATTTGTGAAGGCATAAAAATGTGAATTTTTAAAGGGAGGAAAAAAAATAATGTAAAGTAAACCACATTAAATTTGTAACGCACTTAAGCTAAACAAATTAAAAGTAAAATGTCTAACTCTGCCCTCAGGATATTTTAGAGGAAGTAAAAGCAGCGTGCCAGTGCACAGAACCCATCACACCGACCCCCTGCGTCCCCGACCCCCTTCCGACTCCGTCCCACGACCAGAGCCAACCTGCACTGCCCGACGAGAAAATTGGCGAGAAGAGAAAACGGAAAGATGATGGAGAAGATGCTAAACCAGTTAAAAAATTTTTCGGGGACGGAACTAGAGATTCACATCAGCCCCGTTCTTGGATCTCTGCAGCCACAGGCATTGTGATCAGGTGCAGGTTGCCGTCGCCCAGAGCCGTTCCTCCGCAGCCCTCCTCTGTTCTGGCTGGTGTCACAGGCATGGTGTATCACAAATGGGAGTTCCCATTTTAAGACTTTCTCTCTCTTTCAGTGATTTGACGATGGAGATGAACAGGTTCCGCCTGATTGGTCCACTCTCCCACTCCATCCTAACTGAGGCGCTAAAAGCTGCCTCTGTCCACATGGTAAGATTCCCTGTGACTGATGATTTATTCCAGTCATGTCTTCTCTAGTGAACTTGTGAAATCTAACACATAATTTGGCAACATTTTGGACCATGGCCTTTAAATGTTTATTTCTTTATTTATGCTTATTATTAAGGACTTTGTCATCTCTCATTTCTCCTAGACAATCACATCTAAATGACTGTAATAAGTAAACTGGCTTTTTCTTACTTAAATACAGATTATTCTTGTACCTTGTGAGGTTGTAGATGGATGGGTCTTAACTTCTGCTCCACAGGCTCCTGAAAGTGTACGGCACTTTTTTTGTTTGTACTTGTGCGTATTTTAGGTTCTCTGAAGGCTTAGGAGCTGTGTGTCTGGCTCAGCACTGTCTGGCAGTCCTTTCTGTGACACACTGTTCCCTTTGTGCTGTCCAGCGTGGTAGCCACTGGCCACATGTCGCTGCTGAGTACTTGAAACGTGGCTAGTGGGACTGAGGGACTGAATTTGTACCTTTATTTAATTTGAATTAGCTGAAAATTAAATTCGAATAACTCTGGCTTGCGGCCACCACGTGGACAGCACAGGTGTGGAAAGCAGAGACCAGGCCGGGAGTCGGACACTCGGGGCTCACGGTCGGTCTGTTTTGCTGAATCAGTGCAGTGGGCCTCCCAGTGCCTGTGCCTCTCACGGGCTTGACACAGTCGAATCTGATGAGGGTCTGAACAGCTTTCAGAAGGGAAATACTGAAAACACAAAGGCTACTTCTGTCTCTCTTCATTGTGTCCGCACCACTGCCATCCCTTGCCCGGTCTCTTGCCTGAATGCTGAAGCAGCATCTTAACTTCCCCCATTGTTTCCTGTCTCCACTCCATTGCCTGTGCAGGAGGCAGAGTAGTCTTTGAATGATGCATTCTCATGGTGTTGCTTCGTGATTAAAAGCTTTTGAACTGTGTTTGAGAGAAAATCCAAAGCCCTCCACGTGACCACGGGTCACCTATGCCTCTCCGCCTCGTCTTTCAACTTCACACTTCAGCTGCACTGGCTTCCTTTCCGTTCGAGATCTCGTCACCCTCGGAGCCTCTGCACCTGCTTTTTTCCCCCCACCTGTGTGAACATTCTGCCTCCACCACTAAACCTTCCTCATTCTTCAGGTTTTGATACCTATCTCACTTCCCTACAGAATCCTTTTTGTATCCCTCAAGTTAAATTAGTATCCTTCCTATAACTTACATTGCATCTTGTACATTCCCTTAGTGTGTATGTCTGCATCTGTGTGTGTGCATTTGTACAGTACTCGTGTCTCTCATTAGATGGAGCTTCGTGGTGGCCAGGACAGGGCCCATTCTGTTCCTTACTCTGCCCCCAGTGCTTAGCACGGTGCCTGGCGCAGACCAGGCGCTCTGCTCCAGGGAAATGAGGTGCAGAGCAAGGATCCAAACTAGGAAGTTTGTTTCCAGAGCCTGCACTTTAAACCACTAGCTGTGCTGCCTGCGTGTCTGAGAGAAGTGGCACGTGTCGCTGCAGGTTGCTGTAGAGTCTCAGAGCCCATCCCCTTTCAGTGGACATCAGTGCGAATCCTTGTGGTCCATGCTCGTCCATGGCATGCCCATGTGATGCTCGAGGTGCTCTTTGACCCCTTGCACAATTCCTGGCTCTGTCAGGGAAAAGTGTCAGTAAGATACTTGTGTATGTTATTTGAAATATCTAGGAATACTTTAGTCGTAATACAGCTTTTTGCTGAAGACTTCTTCAGAAGGTATTGGTTTGGTTTTTCCTTGGTGAGGAAGGTTTCATTGCTTAAATTGGTGGTGATGGAGTTGACAGCAGAGGGAGAGGAGCTGGCGCTCCTGCTGGCACTGTGCACAGAGACCTCAGTGTGGAGAAGCTCAGTCTCTGAAGACCAAGCATCGTCTTCTTAGTGTGTGACATCTTGACGGCAGTGCAGCATTCTTCCCTTGCCTCTAATTAAAAGAACAGTTAGTCTGGCGTTAATATCTGTGTTAAAAGTAGTGCCACTTTCCATGGTTCCCCTCATAAAATGTGCCTTCTACATGCAGCAAAAATGTATGGGGGTGCGCAGTATCACAACCATACCAGAATTATTAAGTCTGATTCATTATTTGTCTGGTAAACAGGAGTTGTTACTTTTCAGGAGGGAGAGGACACAGAGAAGACACCGCACCTTTGGTGGACTGAAACCTGTAAGAATCCTGATGCTGTTTCCCTTCACCGCAGACAAGAAGCCATTTTTGAATTGTTGGGAGGTATGTGGAGGGGATATTTGGTTGTACGGGGGTGGGAGGGCAGCTGTGGGAATCGGGCAGAGAGAGTGTTTTGCTGTTAGACTGCCTGCCTGTAGCAGTGCTTTTTAACTCATAACTCCGTGTTATGATGCAGCGAGGAGGCCAGTCAGAGAGTGGATAGTTTGCGTAAGCACTATTTGACTATGCTTATGAAACAGCAAACACATGAGATGTTAGTCTTCTAAGTAACTGGCATTCCGATGTTATAGGTAAATGCATATACCAGGTACTAAACTGAAATCTGTTCTTAACTAGACATGAGTGTTCTTGTAAAAGGTGAAAGATTTATACCATCTGAAGAGAAACTAGAGTATAGACATGAGTGCTTTTGTATGTAAAGCTACTGTAGTTATCAATGATAGAAACATAAAAGGTGATGTTGTAAAATAATCTGTAATGTTAAATTGATGTTATTTTGAAAGAAACTTCCCTCTTTGTGAGTGTTAATTTATTCTCTAAAAGTATCAGTGGGGAAAAAAGGGGAATACATGTTTTTAAATAAATAGCTCAGATGAAAGTTTCATTAGGAAAACTTGAAAATATAAGCAAATATATATACATTGTAATGACTCTCTTTAAGCTTGAATTTTTTTGTTTGTTGTTAAAGGAGTCACATCACCAGCAGAAATCCCGGCAGGTACTGTTCTGGGACTGACAGTTGGGGATCCTCGTACAAATTTGCCTCAAAAGAGGTCCACCGCTTTGCCCAATCCAGAAGAATGCCAAGGTAAAGTTCTTGAAACTGCTGTGTTTTTTCTTTACTGTGTTGAACAGTCTAGTCCCATAGCCAGAGTTCTCTTTGTACCCCCTCTGCAGTCACTTCGTCTCTAGAAAACCAGGGCCGTCTCCACCTGGCTCATTTCAAGATGGTTATGATCCAGGAGATGCTGTGGGTGGGGAAGCACCTTTCAGCTGTGAAACGTGTCACCTGATCCTCATGTTCATTTTATTTCTGGTACCTAGTAAAACTTGTCTTTCTGCCGTGCGGGTTCTCTGAAAAGGCCTAGTGTTCCAGAATTGTGTGAGGAAGGGAGGTGCACCTGCAGCTGGTCTTGTGCTCGTTGGAAGCCTCTGTCTGACCACACAGATGATCCAGGTTCGAATCCTGGCAAGGCCATCCCGGGTGCTGAAGGGTGAGAGGACTTGGTTTAGACCCAGTAGAGCGGCCTGAGGGCGTCGTTTGTCTGGAGTGGCATAGGCGGGTGGGTCAGATTGGCCAGAATTTCAGTCTGGTCTGGGATGTACAGCAGTTGTGGTAGTGTCTCACTGTATTTACTGTCATGTAAGTGAAAGAATTATTATTTGAAAGATAACTGTGTTTGGCATGTTATTTGAAAGAATCATTAACATTAGCTTGTGAGATTTTGGAGAAAAAAATATGTGTGTGTCATAATGACTGGAAGATTTTTTTAACCTCTATGTGTAGTCATATAGTTTACTAAGGGGTCAGAAAATTATTCCGTCACAACTTCACGAGAAGTGGATTGAATGAGGGGAGTTTGAAGATATGTAGGTAAGTTAATTATGCAGTCTAGACTTTAATCAATGAGTTGTTGCCTCTTCCTTTTCTTTTTTAATAGAAGTATGGTCTGGTGCAGCCATAAAAGTTGCAGCGTCTACTAAACCATTAAATGTTGCTTACCATAATCGCTTTAAAGCTATAGTTTAATTCTACTTAGATTCTCTTGCCTCAAATTCTTTTTTGGAATGAGGCAGTTTTATATTAAATCCTTTCTAAGGCTTTTATCTTAATTTGAATCAGTTCAAGGGGAATTTACACCTTACTCAAAAAACGTGACTTAATTTCTATGACAAAACCTTACCATCTTGTTAGTTATTGTGGAATTTCATTAAAACCTGTTTTAAGTAATTTCTTTGAAGTATTGATTGGCATGTAAGCTACATAAAGAAGTAAACTTTTTAAGGAGGTTGTATTATATCAATGTAACACCATGTAGAAAGGCAATTCAGAACTAAAGTTAGAAACATAGTTGGATGAGTATGGTCAGTTAATAAAAGATAGATCTTTGGAAGAATCGATCACATGATCTAACCACCTCATTCTCCAGTGGACTGCCAGTTCGGCTTTCTATACTGTAGTCATCCTCTGCCTGTTTTGACTTAGAGGAAATGGACCGATTATGGTGCTACTTACACCCTGGAGAAGGGTTTACCCGATTTGAGTCAGGAATTCTTTATCTTCTTAAGTATGCCGGGAATTAGCTCTGAAAAGAGAGGTTACATGACTGTGACATTGTCATAACAGAAAAAATACATACTTTGGTCTTTGTGCCTTTTCTAGTGTGTAGCTCCTAAAACCCTTGTAATTTTCTAAGTGATAAGAGCCTTAAAGGGCTAAAGGAGCATCTTTTGTTATTCATAACAAGCCTCTTTCAACCACACCTGAGATTATGTTATTGAGGGGACTTTTGGAAAGTCCCTAAGGATGGTGGACTAGTTGCCAGGGGAACCAGCCTTGTCATTAGGGGGTTGGCACTTTTAGCCCCACCCCTTCTGGGGGGAGGGACCAGAGATTGAGTTTAATCACCAATGGCCAATCATACCTCCATGGTGAAGCCTCCATAAAAATCCTAAATAAGGGGGTTCAGAGAAGTAGTTTGCTGAATGCTTAGAGGCGCTGGGAGGGTGGAGTGCCCAGAATGGGCAAGGGAGCTCCACACTGCTTCCCCGTACCTGGCTATCCCTATGCATCCCTTTCATCTGGCTGTTCCTGAGTTGTATCCTTTTATTGAGACAAAACAGGCTTGACTGGTGTGGCTTGCTTGGTTGGGTGTCATCCCTGAAAGCAAAAGGTAACAGGTTGGATTCCTGGTCAGGGCACACGTTGGGTTGCTGGGGGTTCAGTCCCAGTCAGGTCAGGGTGCGTATGAGAGGCAACTGATGGATGTTTCTCTCCCTCTCTCTCAAAATAAATAACAAAATCTTAAAAAACAAAACAGTAACATAGCAAGTTCTGAGAGCCATTCTAGCAAATTATTAAATACTGGCTGGGGGCAGGTCTTGGGTCAGGAAACTGTGTAGCCAGCTGGTGTCTGAAGTGCCATAACCTGCGGGATCTGACTCTCTCCAGATAGAGAGTGTCAGCCTTGAGCTGAATCGTAGGACACCCAGCTGGTGCTGGAGAATTGCTTGCTGTGGGGAAAACACCTGATCATTGGAGTGTCAGAAGTATCCAGAGGAGAGGAGTGTAAGTAAGCGAAGAGTTTGTCCACGCTGTGCTGCAGAGACCACATCACGCTGACACCGGGTGCAGTGAAGGAGAGTGGCAGTTACTGCACAGCGCTACATGGCAGAGACGGGCCACTTGTGCTGGAGAAACCGGAACTCCCGATGGTTTACAGACAAGGGGTTTCATAGACCAAAAATCACGAGTCGTTGTGAGGGAGGGGCTTGGGGTTGTGGGTCTGCCAATGGGTCAGCAGTGAGGCCAGGGCAGTAAATCATTATTTTAGGCCTTGAGGCCAGCTTCTGTACCCTTCAGTCATGTTTCATGAGGATGTGGCCAGGGCCCCTTCTGCTTTAGGGCTCAGGAGCTAAAGCACAACTTAGGCCATTATGTTATCTTTAGCTTAACAGGAACCCAAAGCCGTGCCCCTTAGTCAGGGCCTGGCCATTGTGTCTGGCAGACTTGGGGGCAGGGGGAGGGACGGTTAGTGACTAGTAAGAGGAAGGGCTGAGGCTTCATCATGCATTAAATCAGAACTCAAGTTTCAGTTGGTTGTTCGCTTTGTGGGCTAAAAACATCCTAACAATATTACTAGGTTATCTCGATGTGCAGGGTAGAAGTCACATTTTGTGACTCTTACTCAATGTATGCTATTATTATTTCTTAAGATTTTATTTATTTATTTTTAGAGAGGGGATGGGAAGAAAAAAGGAAACATCAACGTGTGGTTGCCTCTCATGCGCCCCCTAGTGGGAAACCTGGCCCACAACCCAGGCATGTGCCTTAGACTGGAAACCAAACAGGTGACCCTTTGGTTTGCAGGCTGCCACTCAGTTCACTGAGCCACGTCAGCCAAGGCTCAATGTATGCCATTATTATTTCTGCTGTCTTGATTATTTCTTTTTCCTGAAGTCTAATTGGCCCTGGGCTGAGCAGTAACTATGATAGCTTCCTTCATGGGGTGCTATGTGACTTCCTTCTCGAGGCTGTTAGTCCAAACCAGCATACATACCTATCTGTTTTTTAAATTAAAGATATTTTCTGAGGGAGTCTTAACTCCTCAGCTTCAGTTTTTTCCTTTCAGTGAAGGACCTGATGTGATGATGCATATTCTCAGATGCTTTGAAAAAGTTTACTCTTGGTCATTTTGTTCTTGCATTTGAATTAAATATGCTTCTGCAGATCTTTTCAATGTTATTACCCTAGCACTTTACTATGTAAGTAACTAGTTTTCTAGGTGAGGATTTTTAAAAAAAAATTTTTTAAGATTTTAATTAATTTATTTATTTTTAGAGAGGGAAGGGAGGGAGAAAGAGAGAGAGAGAGAAACATCAATATGCGGTTGCTGGCGGCCATGGCCTGCAACCCAGGCATGTGCCCTGACTGGGAATCGAACCTGCAGCACTTTGGTTTGCAGCCTGCGCTCAATCCACTGAGCTACACCAGCCAGGCTCTAGGTGAGGTTTTAAAATATAATTTCTGCTATAATCTCTGCTATTTTAGCATTTGCTCTCCTTAGCATCTGCTGCTTTGCTTTGATATATTATTTTAACTAGCTCTCATCTTCCAGAGATGAATCTGTTTTAGAAAATATTGAACTTAAACATTGTGCTCATGGGCTTGTCTTAATTTTCTCTTTACACATTCTTCGGTAGTGTATACCCAAACACGGGAATAGTCAAGCTGCCTTTAGAGTGATAGGTGAGAGATCATCGCTGTACTGGTGACGGCTTTTGCAAGCACTGCTGGAGCTCTGGTCTGCACCTGACTTTCAGAAGCGCCCAGTTGTTAGTCACTGTGCCGTGACTTCTCTGTTTCTGCTTGTGGGAGAAACAATCCCTAACCTCTTTAGCTAGGTTCCTTTAAAGGGGTCCCCTGTTTTGCATATTTAATTTAAAACAGAGTTAAGTATATTTGAAGGCTCTAACTTTGGTTTATTTGATCCCCAAATGATAAAGCTGGGTTAGGTGGGGTTTGTCCTCCCCTGTTGTGGGTAAGGCAGGCTTTCAGGCCCCGGAGCCCTAGCGCCAGGGTTTCCTGCGGACTCTGGGAAGCGGTGGGAGGTGGCTTTGTGTCACAAGGTTCATAGCTGGTTTCTTTTTCTGAATAATATTCCCTTGTCTGGACATGCCATCTCCCTAGTTTGTTTATTATTATTTTTAAAGCATATGCGAAGATGAGGCTGTACGCTCCTGTGCCTTTGCACCCTAAGTCTCAGCTGCTTCTTTTGCCTGCAACGGTCAGGATAGATCCCACTTCTGGCACTTGGACCCGCAGCAGCGCTCCGCGGGATGTGCTGCGGGAGGCCCAAGGCTGCCTGCGGTGGAGCCTGCTGGCTCCCTCTCAGGCTGCGGGAGCTGGCTGCACACAGCCCGTTACTGGAGACGCTTGGTCTTAGCCCCGTGAGGAAGAGTGGTGCGCCCGGAGCAGCTGCTGCTGCTGTGCAGGAGCTTTCCTCTTCGATCCGTTCGTCAGTTTAATTTTTTCTCACTTTGTTCTCCCCTGAAATCTGTCCCATTACGGTCCCGTCACTGCCAACTTGCTTTTTTCCCAGCCCTCAGACCCATGCAGGTACGTGCCTTTGAGGGACCTTCCTGTGTTGGTGGCCTTGTAGGACCATGGTCAAAACTCACGAATTGTCTGACTTTTTTCTTTTAATTCTTCAGGCCAACAAAAGCAGATTCGGAATTTTTTTTTAACCTCCTCGTGATTAAATGACTGCACGTAAGAAGCATCTGCTCTCAACGTAGATGTTTATAACTGGGAGAGTTCCTCCTCCTTTCCCACAGCAGTACTGTTTGTTGGGCACAGCGTTTATTTAAAGGAGTGAAGTGATATATTTTGCAGAGAATATGCCCATTTTAAAGGAATGGGAAAATACATTTACTGGAAAGGAATAGATAGTTCGGCACAAAGGGCTGTCAGAGACTTGAAGTAAATACTAGGACTGAAGAAAAGGCCAGTACCTGTGGTCTCACCACCATTGGGCAGGAGTGAGGTTAAAGGCCCTGAAACCATCAGGTCGGGACACGTGGCCTGTGCCGCCATTTCTTTTTGGTTGTTGCACCTCTGGAGGGTGTCGCACCTCTGGGGGGTTCCTAGACTTGGGTGATCTTACCTGTGCAATTGAGCAGTTATTTAAGGCAATGTTATGTGATGTTTGCATCTTCTACACTAAAAAGAAATGTTTAAAAAATAAGTTTAGGAGTCTTTGCTATTTCATAGATTATGAGACCCACTGTAAGAATACCTTTATTTCTAGTCAAGTATATTCTTCTACAGAAGTAAGCACCTATAAAATATTTTCTTGGAACGAAAGGTCAGCTGACCACGTTCAGAGCTTGACTGGAGTGGTCTAACGGATGTGGTTTGAAGGCTGTTTCTTTTCCCCCTTAGATAATGAGGAGGTTAGACAGCTGCTCCTGGAGGGTGTGCCTGTGGAGTGTGCGCACAGCTTTATTTGGAGCCACGCTGTCTGTGAGAGTGTCACAGAGAACAAAATCTCGGATCAGGTAACTGGTGGTGTGAGGGTCATTGGCAAGGTCATGAAGGCGGGCTGAAATTCATCGCTCGAGAGAACATAGAAGTTGCTTCATCCTTCATAGAATCCCACAGACCGACTTTTATTTTCCAGCAATTTACTGCTTCCTCACTCATGATACACGCCATGGTTTTCTTCCCTGTTCTTAGAAAGGAACAATCTCCTAGAGAAAGTTAACACAGAGGCTTTTTCTTGAAATGATAACCTTATGGTTTGAATACATATTTTTCTTTTCTTTTTTTTTCTTAAGTGTTCTCCGTCTTTATCACTTTATTGGTTCTCCTGTCTTTGATTTCATGCCGATTGTGCTCCTGCCAGCGCCAGGCATTACATTAGATGATGGGACAGATGACTGTTCGATGTGGTCAGGGACATACGGGGTACAAAGGAAGCCCAAGGAAGGGATACTGTAGAAATTGGGGAAAGCTCCCTAGATGAGGGAGCTGGTATTTGAGCCGACTCTTAGGTGGGGCGTTAGAATGAACTAGAGTTTTGGGGACCAGGGGCCAAGGCTGCAGCAGAGAGGGGATGGCTGGCAGTGAGCATGTGCAAGGGCCCAGGCCGAAAACCTGATGACGTGTTCAGGAATCTTCAGGGAGATCAGTAGCTTGGAGTCAGGGGAGGCAGAGGGTGAAACTAGCTGCCAGAGCATAGAAGACCTTGGGGCATTTTAAGGATCTGGGCCAAAGATGTGGGGTGGGCACCATGGAAGGTTTTAAGCCAAGCCGCTGACCACATTTCTCTCCAGCAGCCAGTGGGGGGCGGGTGAGACGAGGGGTGGGGGTGTGGGTGGAGGAGCTGGAGAGAGGACGTGTGGTTGGGTGGCCTTAAAAGAGACCCTGGAAAGAGTCCATAATGTAGGACGTGGTGGGGCCTGAACTGTGGCAGTGTGGCCGGAGTCCCGGGCCTGGGGGTTAATACACATTCCTGGAGGGAAGAATCGACCAGACTCAGTGGTTGACTGGAAGGTGGGTGGAGAGAAAGGAGGAGACTTGTAGGTCAGCTCCTGACGGTCTAGTTTGGGACTAGGAGCTCAGCTAAAAGAGAGCCAAAGCCGGGTCTGACTTGCTGCAGCTCTGTCTCCGAGTTCCAGAATAGCAATCGGCACGTAACTGGTGTGCTCAGTATTTATTTGAATGAAGGGTAAATGTTTGAATGGATACTGAACAAGGGGACGAACTGTGAGAATCACTCAGCTAAGATGGGGATGCAGGAGGAGGGCGACTGTGGTGGGGAAGATGAATTTGGTCTCGGGTAGACTGAGTTTGGAGAGTCCCGGGAGCAGACATCCAGGAGACAGGTTTTGATCCCAGGAGGAAAAGTCAGGGCGAAAGAGATAGATCGTTGGCATTTCCAGCGTGTAGTTGGCAGTGGGAACAAAAATGAGAATCAGGCCTTGGCCCTGGTTCCAGGGCTCCCGTGAGGGAGCAGTTAGACGGTGGCCTGGAGGCAGTTTCCTGGAGACTGTTCCTAATCGAGGGGCAGGCTTCCCCCCTGCCCACCTGCTCATCTCTTCTCACAGCTGGCAAGGAAAGTCTAAAAGAGGGTTATCTGCTCCCTGCAGTCCACGTAACCAATGATTTATAGCATCTTGTATTTTCAATCCTTCAGACTGGGTGAGAAATTTTCTCAAGAGCCAGAGTAGTTTTCCACTTGCATTCCTGGAGAAGCTGTTAATTGTACCTTTTTTACTTCATGACAAGTCTTAACCAAAATTAATGTAGGGACAGAGTATCAAGATAGAAGATTAATCCTGATATAAGAAATTAGTGGAATGGGTGTATATGTTACAACTTTGGATCGTCTAGTATGTTCTTACCCAAATTTAAGATAGTTTGTCATTTTCTACCAAAGCACTTGTAGAGAGGAAAATTGTATAGGAGGGATACCTTGTACTTAAAATAGCTCAATTTATTGATTGAGAACACTTTTTTCCTTGCTTTTTTAAAGGAGCATGTAACTTTCTAAAGCTGCTTTTAGGGAGACCCAGTAGAATCTCCCAGGAGGCTAGGGTTGTTTGTCTTGAATTCTTTTCTTCCGTTTTAGGATTTAAACCGGAAGAGAAGTGAGTTGCTGGTGCCTGGGTCACAGCTTGTTCTAGGTCCCCATGAATCCAAGATACCCATCCTTCTGATCCAGCAGCCAGGCCGCGTGGCTGGAGACGACCGGCGAGGCTGGGGAAGCGGCTGGGACGTCCTGCTGCCCAAGGGCTGGGGCATGGCTTTCTGGATTCCGTTTGTAAGTTACCTTTGGATTCCGAGGAAGAGTTGCACGGTTTTACATACATTCCTAGTTAAACACCACGTGCTGAAAGTGTTCCAGACTGTGCACCACCCAGAAGTCCAGGGCTGCTGTCCTGCCCTCTCAGCTGTACACATCATAGAGACGCTTCCGAAAGTCGCTGGAGCCAGGGTTTTATTAGTGCGAGTTGTGCTGACGTACTGTGAGTTTCTTGAGGTTTTTAAGAGTGGCCTGATTTTTGAAGACTAGTGGCAACAAAATACTGACTTTTATTTTCTTACTTGAAGAAATTTGTTACCATTTAAAAGCAATTTTTATAATTTAATTTTTATAGATGTATAGAATACATTTTTAAGTGCTGACCATGTTCTTCTGTTTATTAACTAAACAATTTTATTAAAATGTAGTGTGTGTGTGTGTGTGAGTGTGTGAGTATTTGTGGTTAAACACCACTTTGAGCTAGAGAGGAGAAAAGACCTGCAAGACTGTTGGAGCCTTGCCGGTGATTCAATGATGCCTCATGTGAGGATAATCACTTGGGAGTGGGACTATTTTTAAATAATTCTGATTTTTACCTTGTGAAATATTTGAAGCATAGAAAAAACAATAGACATGGATACAGTGAACCGCCAGCTTGAGAAACCAGACATCACAGACTTATTGGAAGCACCTGGGACCCTCTCCGACTCCGTTTCCCTCCCTCCTCCTGAGAGAGTTGCTGTCCTGGTTTGGGTGCTTGTTGCTGACATGCATGTTTTTGCAGCTCTGTAAAGTATGCGTGTACCCCAAACACAGTAACTGTATTTGACATGTTCCTCCACTTTACATGCTGTAGGTATGCTGTTGCAGCTTGCTGTATGTACTCAACATTGAGATTTCCCCACGTTGATTGATGCTCTATCTCATTCATTTTAAATGTTGTGTGGTAGCTCATTACAGGGTTTTCCCACAATTTATTTGTCCACTCTGTGTTTGATGGGCATTTAGGTCGTTTCTGTTTTCCCCCGTACAGACAAGTAAGCAGTCTCATATGGACAGGATCTCTTTGACATTTCTTCCAGATCTACCGAGGTGCAAGAGCAGGGGGATTAAAAGAGGCCAGAGTGCATTCTCAGTACAAACGGTCACCTTACGTCCCGGGCGATTTCCCAGACTGCTCTGCTGGGGTTCTGTTTGCTGAAGAACAAGCCAACGATCTTCTTGAAAAGTACAAAAGGTGAGAAACTGGCTTCTAGTTTGGTAACATCTTAAGAGGAAGAGAGGTGCGTACATTGGTTCATGATGTCTGGAGTGGCTTTGGTAACTCTTACTGTAGAAGACAGAGTTTTCATAGGTGTCTTCCTTGAGTTGAGCATTACCGAGACAGAATTCAGTCGAGAGATTGTCGTACAGCCGGCTTTCCAGGCCCGTCCAGGTCCAGACCCTCTCCTTGGCCATTCTCGGACATGGGTGATGGTGCGCACCTAAGCTGGGGACGTGGATTTCAGGTGCTTGTTAGTAGTTTCCCACTCCCAGCCCTGCCCCCTCAAAATGGAAATCGAGTTACAGAGGTGATGCGTATGAAATTTTAATGAAACTATGGAAGCATAAAACCCTTTATGAACAAGTGTATTTCCTGCACTCAGAGAGATAAACACTGCCTTTACATTTTAGGGTCTATCCATCTGGACTTCCTCTCTTTTTTCACGGGGGCATGGACAGTGAGGGGCTTTATTTCCTTTACACTGTGAAGTACGCGCTAGCATTGGGAACCCGTGTTTCCTGCGCGACTGTGGGCTCCCAGAAACTCTGCTCGTTGTGGCTTCTGCAGCCTCCAGCCAGTGCCTGGCGCACAGTGGGCCATCATCACTGTTACTTGTTGACTGATGAGGGAGTGAAGAATTGAGTGGTGCAGGTCCTCCACTGTGAGCTCCACGATGGTGCTTTCCTCTGCGCTGCAGCAGCCACAGAGACGGGCAGTGCCTGGCTCCACACTGTCGACTGATGGGTGAAGGAATGAATGCCTGGGGGGACGAGTGGGGCACACACACCCCTGGGGCGCCAGCTGGTAAGCTCTCGGCAGTTGTGCATTATCTGTCCTGAGCCTCCTGTAACAGGGAGCTGAGGGGCTTCTGTTGTTTGTTAAAGAGTAATTGGCAATAATATTTATCTCTTACCTTTTAGACTTCTTTATGCATACGAATTTTTCATAGAAACAATTTTTTTTTAAAAAGAGTATTGTATATACTATTTTGCAACCTGCTTTTTAAACTTAATGCTATGTAATGGATAGTTTTCCCATATCAGTAAGTGTGACTCTAAAACCAAGTATCGGTGACCTTTTTCTGGAAAGGGCCAGATCCTAAATGTTTTTGGTTTTGTGGGCCCTTTAGTTTCCACGGCAACTGCTTGGCTCAGCCTTTGTGACGCAAAAGAGGCCACAGGAGACCCCTAAGCGAATGAAGGAGCATGGCTGTGTTCCAGTCTCACGTCGTGGACACTCAAATTTGCATTTCCTGTATAATTTTCGTGTGCCATAAAGTATTATTCTTTTGTTTGTTTCCAACTGCTTAAAAATGTAAACAACCATCCTCAGCTCATGGGTCGCAGAAAGCCAACTGAGGGCCAGGTTTAGCCTGAGTGTAGTCAGCCAGCCCTTGCTCAGATGTAACTGAGGCTGCTCAGGACCCTGGGACGGCTGTAGCACAGTTTATCAGTGGCCCTTCAGGTGTGTTCTGGTTTTTTGCCATGTGCTTCTGTGAGTAGCCCAACCATATGCACCTTTACATTATTTCAGGCCTGTTGTACGTCAACCACCTTTCCAAGCGCTGGGGCTGCGGCAGGAGAAGGCAGGCAAAGGCTGCTTTTGCCCTCCTTGGGCTTATTTTTCATTACAATAGTGTCAATATGCAGTCTTAGTTTCAGGTGTGCAGCATTTATGTACCTCACCAAGTGGTCACGCGGTGAGTCCGCTGACCGCCAGTCCCGGGACAGAGCTTTGCGGCATTTCTGACTGTGTTCCCCTGTGCCGTGCCTTCCATCCAGTGAGTGGAAGTCTGTTCGTCCTGGGCCCCTCCCCCATCTTCACCCTCCCCTGCTCCCTTCCCCCTCCTCCCTTCCTCCGTCAGCCATCATTTGTTCTCTGTATCTGTTTGTTTCGGTTTTGTTTGGTCACTTGTTTTGCTTTCTAGACTCCACATTTAAGTGGATTCATACAGATTTTGTCCTCCTTGGCCTGACTTGTTTCTCTCAGCATCCTACCTTGCAGGTCCGTGCCTGTTGTTGCAGGTGGTGAGGCTTCATTTTCTATGGCCAAGTAATATTCCATTGTGTGTCCTTCTTTATTCATTCTTCTGTTGGTAGATACTTAGGTTGTTTCCATGTCTTGGCTGTTGTAAATAACACTGTAATGAACATAGGAGTGCATATGGGGGAGAAAGAGAGGGAGAGAAACATCAGTGTGTGGTTGCCTCTCACGTGGTCCCCACTAGGGACCTGGCTCGAAACCCAGGCATGCGCCCTGACTGGGAATTGAACTGGCGATCCTTTGGTTTGCAGCCAGCGCTCAATCCACTGAGCCACACCAGCCCGGGCGTGAACACAGGTTGAGGTAGGTTTGACTCTGGCAGAGAGACTCAGTAGTACTCTCCTGGCTTTGACTGCTTTCTCAGTGAAAAAAGAGGCAAGGTTATAAGGTAGGAATAGGAAAAGTAGGAAGGCTGTCAGAGATCTGAGGAGAGTGGAATCAATAGAAACAGTGTTCTGGGAGAGTGGAAAACAGAATTGACTGGAGAAATGTAAATAATCCCCTTGAGTTTTGTGTTTATGGTAAGAACATTCAGGACCTGTGTGTTCTTCCCCAGCTGTGTTCTGCCAGTCAGGGCCTGGCGTAGGGCAGGTGGAGGTTGAAAGTAACCAGGATGGGCTTGGCCGCGTGGAGGGAGTCTGAGGGTGTACGTGAGGAAGTGACTCTCGTGTGACCCACGCAGTCTAAGCTAACTAGGAGAGAGGTGTGAGAACAGGGGTGTGCAGTGAGGACAAATGAATAGGAGGTTTCAGTGGTCGAGGAATTGTTGCCGAGGACAGGGACATGGGTTGGAAAAACAGGAGGCCTCCCTCTGAGTGGAAGATACTGGAAATTGAGATTTTTAAGGTGGAGCCAGCAGTAGGGATGACCAGACTGCCAGTGAGCCGGTGTGGGGGGTTGAGGCAGAGTGAAGACGTGGAGTGAGGACCAGTGTTTCTGGGAGGCCAGGGTGCGAACAGGATGGTGTACGCAGGTGCCGAAGGCACTGAGACTGACAGCAGTCGTGGTGGAGGGGGAGGCAGCCCAGCCGTGAATGGGGGTGGCCGGGGCGTCGGTAGAGGGAGAGCCCGTGGTTTGTGTGGCGGTTTGTGCTGCAGGGGAGCTGGTGTGGTGGAAGAGAAAGGAGAGGAAAACTGGTCTGGGGGCATCTGCCCAGGGCCAGGCCCAGGAGAGGTGGAGGAGAAATGGCCGCTGCTGAGAGGAGCTGCAGGGGAAAGAAAGCACAGACCTTAGGCAAATCCCCATGAACAAGATTTCTGGTTTCGATCCAGAAAAGATGCACAGACTAAGGATTTTTGTTTGGCTGTTTACTAGTGAAGTTGGACATTTTTAAGTGTGTTGAAGGTCTCTGGGTGAGACGAATGTCCTGGGACTTTTTCACCAGCTGTCCTTCTTGGGATGTGGGAACACCCCTGGGGTCCCAGGGCACGGCAGGCAGTGAGAAGTCAGTGGGGGAAGGGACGGCTGGGCCTGGCCCCGGGAGACTGTCAGCCTGAGGACACAGTCTGGGGCCCCCTGAAAGTCTTCCAGCCCAGAAGGGCAGCAGCTGGACTGCTCCCACCTGTTGGGGTCAGTAAGAACCAGAGCAGACCCTGGTTCTCACTGGCTAAGGGGGTTTCTCAGAGGCCCTCACTCAGGCATTCCTGGAAAGGTCGACTGGTACCACACTGTGGAGGGCGATATGGAGACATTGGTCAGAATTGCAAATGCTAATAATACTCTGCCTTTAGCGCCTCCATGCCCAGGAATTTGTGCTTGCTCAAGGTCATGCATTGCAACTCCTTGTCGAAGCAAAAGTTTGAAAATAATCAAACTGCGATAGGGGACTGCCTGAATAAATGGGGGTGAGATATGCAGCCTTTTACAAAAGAATGAGGATCTCAGCAGATTGATATGCATGACCTCCAAGATATTAAGTAAAAAAAGTAAAGTTAGGCAAAAAAGACTGTAGCTGGTATGCCACTGTTGTGTAAAAATGAGCAAAAAATGAAAGAAACATGAGTGTAACAGAGAACCTTGTAAATGTGCATGGACACTGCTGCACAAGGGACAGCGTTCACTCGAAGCCTTCGGGAGTGGCGCCCCCTGGGGTTGTACCTCTGAAAATAAAAATGAAGGAAACAAAAGTTTGGCCTTTAGAGTTGGCTGTCTTTTATTATTCTCTTTCTTAGAAAACTTTGTATATTTGTTTTTATTTTATAGTAAAATGTGTTTTTGTTTTATAGTACAATGGCCATAATTATTTTAATTGTCTACTCCTAAATTATTCAACGTTGGCTCTCCCCTTTGGTTCTCATTAGACGCCCTCCTGCCAAACGGCCCAACTACGTGAAGCTGGGCACCCTGGCCCCTTTCTGCTGTCCCTGGGAGCAGCTAACTCGAGACTGGGAATCGAGAGTCCAGGCCCGGGAGGGGTCACCCGGAGCTCTCCCGCCGAGAGGGGAGGGGAGCGACTTGAGAGGAGACGAGGTGCCTTGCGTTCCCACGCCTGAAAAAACCCGTCAGGCGCCTGACGAAGCAGACACATCGCTACAGGACGCCACCGGCAGCCTCCTCTGTGTTCTGAGGTAAGTGCACACGACGTCCACACATGTTTTGGGTCGACTCTTTCAATACTGACCAGGCCGCAGGACGTAAAAGTTATCGTTGTTCCTTCAGGCAAAGCCGTAGCGAGTTTTTGGACTTTCACAGAGGGCCCCGGGCAACAGCCAGGTCGCATCTCACTCGGGGCATGAAGCTCCCTGGCGAGAGACTTGAGTGTCGGCAGCAGACCTGAAATCAAGGCAGTCCCTTTAAACGGGTGTTTCCTCTAGTCTTTGCTCACCAAGCAGTGCCTCCCCGCCAAGTGCATCGTAGGGAAACAGAGAACCCCCCACAAACTCGGGGCGAGCGCTCTTCGCTTTAAGTCACTGCATCAGACTTTCTCTCACTCCTTGTGGGTGACCTGAGTGTGTGGCCGGTCAGGTGTCGGTTCACTGTGGTGGTGTCACACGGAGACCATCCTGTAAAATGCGTTCCACTGTCAGTGCCGATGCAGGCGACTAGATTTTGCTCATCAATTATCCTATATTCTGGGCTCTGATTTTTCTTATTTATTTTGTGCTTTGATTTTTTTTAAAAAGTGCCCACCCCTCTTGCCTTATACTTATTTTTCTGCACAGTAACCTCATAATTTCATGTCCTTTTTTACTTTTCATCCAACTTCCTTATAGTTTCTTTTCTAATGAAAACATTAGCTGTTCTTTAATCCTCTCGCTGTGCTTGCAGCCTTAGGTTCTCTCCCACTCACTGTCTTATTTTCCTCTGCTTTCAGCTTCTTAAACCTTTAGTCTTTCTGTCCCAGAATAGAAGGCACATGAAAAGTAAAATATGATTATAAAAATGCACCAATGTTTATTTTTAATTTTTTAAAAAATTGGAATTTTGATCCTTTTGCACAGAGTATAAAACATTAGATTAACTCCAGCAATGCTTAATCTTCTAATTGCTTATTTCCTCCTTGAACAAAATGTCCTCCAACATGAAGGAGCAGAGCGTCACTGAAGCAGCTGTCAGCCTGGTGCGGGCCCAGTTGTGGGGGCCGACGGGCAGCCCAGCGTGCTCCCGGCAGGGGCCAGCGAGACCTGACCCCGGAGGCCTGCCTGCCCCTCTTGGACCGCTTCCCCAGGGCCCTGGTGTGGGTCAGCCTGTCCCTGCTCGGGAAGGGCAGTCCGGAGCCGCGCACCATGATCTGTGTCCCAGCCGAGGAGGACTTCCTGCAGCTCAGCCGGGATCGGCTCTACCGTGGGCCCCAGGAGCCCAAGCACAGCGACCCCTTCAAGAGCAAGATCCGGAAACAGAAAGAGAAGAAGAAAGTAGAAAAGAGGCAGAACCACAGACCTGCCGGGTCTGAGGGTCTGACGGTGGGGGGCCCTGCGGCGGGGGCCCCGGCTCTGACCCTGGGCTTGTGGTCAGGCCCCCTTCCCGACTTGACTTCTCACTGCTCCCGAGCTCTCCTGGGCTTTGTCACCCAGGGAGACTTCTCCATGGCTGTGGGCTGTGGAGAGGCCCTGGGGTTTGTCAGTTTGACGGGCTTGCTGGATACGCTGTGCAGGCAGCCGGCAGTGCAGAGGGGCCTGGTGCTGCTGCGGCCTCCCGCCTCTCTGCAGTACCGATTTGCGAGGATAGCCATCGAGCTGTGAATGTCGGTTACACTCCTGCTGGGGCGCAGGTGACAGCTGCTTGCCTGCTCCACCGTCGGCAGGTTTGGTTTCAGCTGTCTTTGGTTTTGAAATATGTGAAATTCCTTGGAAACAAGAATAAAGAAATTATGTATTATGCAAATAGATGAAATGTTTACATTGTTCCAGTAACCTCATTGATTTCTACCTTTTCCGTTCTTTGCTGTAATAGATTGAAATTACTTGGCATATACAGCCACAGGCTTTTCTGTTATGATTTCTTGGCCTGTGTCAGTCATCCTTGCTGAAAATAGAAGCTTTATGTTTTCTCGTTCCGCCCCCTCCCCCCCTTTCATTTTATTAGAAACAAAGGGCTGGCAAGTCTCTTTCGAAACTTTGTGGTCATGTGGGAAGCAGCAGTGGTGGTTTAATGATCTCATTGTTGCAGAAGAGGAAAAGACTACATGCCTGGCATTTGTACATGAAACACGGGCCACCCGTCCATTGGTGCTCATTCTGTCTGCAGTCCACTCGCTGAATGTCTGACACCGAGAAGGAGGAAGTCAGGGGAAGCGCGTGCTGCCCTCTGCAGGCAGGCGTGGGCATGGCGACAGTGCCCGGGTGGGGTCGCGATGGGGGTCTCTTGTTTTCATCGTCCTCATCGTTGTTGACCAGCACAGGACCGCAGAGTTCATTTTTTTCTGAGCTTTTTGTTTCTGCCAAGAACTTCTCAGAGCCATGGAGGAGTGTTTCAAAAACACTTTCTGTGCAATGTGTTAAACCACCCCCTACCCCAGCCCCCAGGGAGATTCCACTGTCCGGCTGATTTGGGGAACGGGGCTAAACACAGTTAACATGACTTTTTAAAGGACCTCTAGACCCTTCCATGGGATAATGTACGTTGTAAATCTCCAGGAAGCGAGTAAGAAATAGTCTATAATATCTTCTAAATCTTTTTGACCCCGAACTCCTTTTGCAAGGACCGCCATCACCTCTTCTTGGTGACGGCTGAAGTGACAAGCTGCTTGTAAACCTCCGCGCAGTCCCTCGTCTGCCTGCCAGACCTGTGAGCCGGTGGAGAAGAGGTCCGCCCTGCCCCCTAGGAAGGGTGGGGTCGCTGTGGCAGTTCCTCACTTGCAGGGAAACGAGCTCACCACTTCTAGTCCCTGCGTGTGTCTCACTCATACCCTCAGACCCTTATTTCTCTGCCATAAAGTCCTAGCAGAACTTGAGTGGGCTTTTTTTTGGGTTATTAAATTTAAATTGCACAGTGAGGCGTTAGTCCCTGTAAACACGCTGGGCTTTTGCAGGGGCATCTGGCAGTAAGCCGTGAGCTGGGGAGAGGTGCGGAAGCATCATAGCTGATGAAGTGCCTGGCGTTTTCCCTTTCACCATACCTCAGAACATATTTGAGTCCAACCCAACTGGGACTGAAAAACATAGTATAACTTCATGGCATCTGTAAACAATAAATTGTCACCTGATGCTCAGTTGTGAATATTCAGTGAGGCAGTCCTCATTGTTTTCTAGGCTCTGAGCCGCTTCCTCTGTGGCCTGGCTCGCTGGGTGGCAGAAGCATGAGTGTGCCGTGAGTCACACAGAGCCTTGCCCTGTGCAGCCCCTGCCTGGGGCCTGCTGCCCACTCTGGTGGCGAGGGACAGGCCACACTCACGCTCTGCGGCAGTAGGTCAGAACTGTGTGCTGAAACGTCGACTCTACCATTTTCCAAAACGTATTCCTGAAAAAAGTGTTTCACAGCTGACTAAATCTGGGGACAGGTGTACGCCGTGTCCTCCTGTTGCCTGTTCACACTGACTGTTGGTCTAGTCAAGGCTCTGCAGACTCCTGCGGGAAGGAAATTTTTTTCTCAGATGCCCCCTCCCACTTGCTTTTTTTTTTTTTTTGTGCATAGCTACTGTCCAGAAAACATTAGTTTCATGGAATATACTGGAATGTGCGTACTTTGATCCTACGAGATGCCTGCTGAGCTACCAAATCAGTACACCACGTCCCCTGCGCCCTCTCAAGGGGGCAGAGACTGCGGGGTTTGTAAAGTCAGGAAGTGCGTGATAAGCAGACTTGTGAGCTGACCACCCAGAGACCAGCTCAGCCCCTGAGTTTGTGTGAAACAGTTGATTCTTTCTGTGTGCTGATCTTCTGCTTTGTCTTATATTACATAAGTAATATTTTTATATTAATAATCCATACTCATCATAGAAAAATTAGAAAATGCAGATAAGTGACAATAGCAGCATAAATCAGCTGGATTTTCAGCACCCAGAAGTAACTACTGTACCTTTCTGGTACACATCCTTCTAGGCTTGGAGATGTGTGTTGTAGTTTCCTTTTAACAAAAAAGCAGCATCCATAATTGCTTATGTGAAAAGCTATACAATCCACAGGCAGCGTGACTATATGTTGCCAATTCCTCATGAAGCTTCATTAGCGGGAACCCTAATGCTCGTGCTCCTACTGGATATAGGAAACCAGCAGGTGCATCTAGAACCCCGTGTTGCATTGCTGTCTTGCCTGCTACATACTCAGGGTGACTTCTTTCTTCCCAGCCAGTGGTTGGTGAGGTGGGCAGTCGATGGCTGGATGGACTGCACAGTGGCCTTAACCAGTGTACTTGTGGCCAGCCAATCTGAGGCCTGGGGAGCAGAGAGGCCAGGCCCAGGGCTGGGCTGCCTAGCAGATGATAGAAGGCAACAAAGCCTAGCAATTGTGGGTCACCTGGAGCAGCAGTCCCGGTTACACAGCCGTAATTCTGGTTACCCCAGAACACGGAGGACCACGGGTGCAGTGTTTGATGGGAGTGCTGCGTGAGAATCACCTGAAGGCTCAAGCCTCTCCCCAGTCTCGGCTTGGGCCTAAGCATCAGTATGTCTCAGAAGCTCCTAGGCCGTTCTAATGTGTGACTTGGGCTTGGCACTGCGGCTTTAAGAAGTCTGGCTCTTTGGATGCCTTGCACCGTGGGAAAGCTCGAATGAATAATGAGGCCAGGGAAAGTGCACAACTCTTGTGCTGTTAGCAGGCCCTGCTCACAGGGTCCATTGTGAAGCTGCCAGGTGGGAATTCCAGGAGAGCCTGGTGGTGAGGGCTGGGTGGTCCGATGGGGACTTCCATCTGGGGAAGAGGCCTGGTCTTAACCGGAAAACAGCCTGGCTCGTGACTCGTATAACCTGACCACCTGGGAGTATAAAATGAGGTCTTTGTCATTTGTTCTCTCTCGGGGCAGTGTCCTTCCAGATCAGCTATAGTTAACCTTGGGGAGCTTTCTCAGCCCTGGAGCCCAGGTCTGTCCCCAGGGCTGCTGATTTAACGGGTCAGGGGTGTGGCCTGGACAGTGGGGTACTTGAGAGCTTCCAGGTGACTTGCAGCCCGGGATGAGAACCACCATGCTAGACAGTATGAGCTTCCACGGTCACTAGCCAAGAACCCAGAAACTTCCCAGTAATGGGGAGCCCTGCAGGGCGGGAGCAGACAGAGGCTGTCAGAGTGGACTGCGTCGCTGTCACAGATGGGTATCCCTGATAGGGTCCTGCTGGAGCTGAGCAAGCAGCCACATTTGCTTAATGGCACGTGCCTGTCTCTGTAAAAATGAACATTTAGACGGGTACTGTCCTGGAGGACCCCTGTGATCATCCGTGTGCTTTCACTAAAGCAAATGTTTGCAAACGTGGAGCCTTTCCATCTCATCGCACCTCCCCCAGCCTCGCTCACTGCGGGAACTCGCTGGTCGTCGGGCCCCTTGAGTGAGCAGTCCAGACAGGGCACGGGCTGCGCTGCGCTGGGCCTTCGTGGACCGTTCTCGCCCCGGGCTCCCCACGCTTCCTGCCCTCTGTCCCCTCTTGTTCCATCCTTCCGTGCTTAACTTTATGTTTCTCAGAGAGCCCACCTCCTGCCTGCATTATTCTTCTGTCACAAGGAACTTATTTCTGAGGACATCACAATGATAATTCTTCCGTTGTTTATTGTGTACTCCACTCGCTGTGAGCCTCCTGAAGGGCAGACTGTGTCTTACTTGGTCGCTGTTATTCCTCAGACTCTAGCACTTTGACTAACTCATAACTTGTGTTTAATATATTCTTGTTACTACTGCGTTAATCGGATTTGTTGGTGTTTGCATTAAACTACAATACATACTATTTCAGCACAAGCACATGTTGTAATGCACAAATTGGCCACTAGGTGGTGCCAAGACCTCATGAGAAAAGAACTTGCTCTGGGGAAAAAACCTCAGAAGTAAAACACAATCCAGTTGTGTAGGTTGTTGGAATGGGGGAGTTTATGAGGTTACATATCAATTAATATTCCCTTTTTGGAGGTGGACCCATCCTACCAAAATCCTAGATAGAAAAGGCTCTGTGATTTTTAAACGGGACTAGAGAAGGAACAACTTTAAAAGCTCCTGTCTAATGAATGATTCCCATCCACATTATCCCCAGTACGTTTGCCCACCAGTCATGAGCTGAATGCCTCCAATGACAGGGAGCTCATCGCTTCACCCAGAGAGGCTGCCCGCCCCTCAGCCCCCCTTGGGGGTATTCTGATGGACGAAGTGCCTCTTGAGCTCCACCCTTACCTGTCAGCCAACTTGGAGAGCAGCCTTTTATTTTTAAGAAGTCAGTTATTAACCTTTTGCTTTTCTCTTCTGCAGGCCAAACAAGCCTCATTTCTTTAGCTTTCCTTCTCTTGTTTCCAACATGTCACATAGGACCTTAAAGTATTTTTTGGACAAGACATAATTTGTCCTCAGAACAACTGCACAGCTGCATGAGCCTCGGGCAGAAGCTGGTGGTTTAAGGAGAGCCGGGAACATTCTGGGCCCCCTGAAGTCTCCAGTCTCCTCCTCCCTTGCGGGGATATAGCTGCTACTGTCTTAGGCAGGTGCGAGCTTCCTAAAAAGCAGAGCCTGGGCGGTTTACATTTTAGGAAGTTATCTAAGGAAGTGGGAGCGTGGAGATCGGGCAGAGTGAACTGGGGAAGAAACGAAAGGCAATCAGAGTGCGCATTCAACTGGCTGCCGGTGGGGACGAGTGGATGCACCTCCGGATTGTCCACGCATGGCCCAGAAGAGGGAAACCTGGGTTTACCAGCTCTCATTCCCAGGTCAAGGGGTGCCCCTGGAAGCTTGCATTGCCTCGCACCTCCAGGACTGCACA